TATATATATATATATATATATATATATTGTCTAGTTCTAAACTGTAATGTCAAATCATCTATCACTAAAATACACAAAACATGGGTAAAATAGAACAGTAACTGATATAATAACCAGACTGCATCAAAAAGAATTAGTTAGAAAACAGATATAACATTGAAGAATACCTCCAAAATCGAGAAGTGGTTTACATTTGACTTAACAAAGTATTTGAGTCTAATATTTTCCAAAAGATATAACTGTGTATTAAATATGAAACTGTCGCTGTGTGAAATAATTAAGTTGATCGAAAACATTTATACTTAATCTACAGGTAAAAAGAGTATTTCTAAGATATGCTTGTTTTCTAGTACAAAATATATTCATAAAAAATTGTAGTTTGTTGTTTTTGAAAACCACTGTATAATAATTTATTGTACAACAGTTCCTAGTTATTTAGAAAGTGTAACACTGCAAAACTGTAAGTTAAGCATATTTCTTTTAACAAAACTTAATATATTTGATTTTAAAAATTGTGATTCAAGCATTCCAAATCCATAACCCTTTTTATGTTATAGACGTTTTATACAAATTGGACGCCCCCAGTGGCACAGCTGTATGTCTGCGGACTTACAATGCTAGAAACCGGGTCTCGATACCCGTGGTGGGCAGAGCACAGATAGTCCATTGTGTAGCTTTGTGCTTAACTTCAAACAAACAAAACAAATTGGATATAGAAATAGAAACTGTGTGCTTTATCAAAAGGTGATTGAATAGTTTCTGTAACTGAAAGTTCACATGGATGAACTTAGTAATGTTTCACTTTATGCGATCACTTTCAATTAAAAGTGAGATATAAACATTTCATGTTCAAATGGTAATTATTATCCGTTAGAATACCTTTAATTTGTCTGTAGCATTTATCTCAGAAATGTCATTTTAATACAGAATTTCAACAAAAGGTTTAATCCTCTCTAACAGCAATCCTTGTCAAACGATTTATCAAATATTGTTTTAAACTTTCAATTCAATCATTCAAAGATGGTTTAGTGTATTGGTATTAACACCAAATAAATGAAATATTGAACGAAAGTTAAGTACATTGTTTTAGGAATTCTAGTGCCCTTTTATTAGTTTTAATGAGCCATTATGACTCATTAATTGTATTTGAATTATTTTCAGTTATGCATGTGTAACTTTATTAAGTAAAACTGTTTGTTTGTTTCAGATATTCGTGTACAGCTACACAACGGCTTACTTGCGCTAACTGTGACTAATTTTGAACTGACAGGCTAGAGGGTAGGCAGTTAGTCAACAGCACATACCACCGAGTTTTTGGTTACTCTAATCGAATAGTAGGATTTATAACGAAAGCATCCTAAGCGATTATTTCTTGCAACAAGGACACAAACCATAGACCTTACGATTCACAGTCCAGCAAATTAACCACCTTGGCTACGCCTAGTGCAATTACAACATCCTTAATATATATATATAGTTGTTGTTGTTGTTAACTTGCATTATTTCAGTTTTATTTAAAACAGAAATTAACGTAAAACAAGCATAAGGTTTGAAATATTAGATACTATCCATGCACGATAAGTTTACTTATACCGGCCATAGATTATCATGTAATAGTTTTTGTTTTTGCTTTTAGGGCGTTTTCATTTCAATTTTAGAATATAGTTATAAACGTTAACACTTCGGTTATAGCAAACAGATTAAGTTTTACAAGGTTTCCATTTTTATTGACAGTGCATTTTCTAAACAAATGCTATAAACATATTAAGGCAACGGCCACATTTCATGCAATAACTAGTTAATAAAAGTGGATTATCAGCTTACTTACCCCAACCAATAAGAGCATAGATGTAAAATTTGACTCCTTCAGTAGAGAAAGTTCTCACAACTAAGACGAACAAGTAAAGGCCTTCAACAAACATCCAGAAAAAATTGGTGCCCATTGAATACGTCAAAATTACGACGAGAATGCAGGAAGCCTGGGAAAAAATATAGCCATTAATGTGACGGAAAATATATTTCTAGATAAAATAATAATATTAATATATTTAAAATCTAAAATATTGAATAAATAGGTTTCTTTGAGTTACAATGTAATATGAAAGAATTATACAAACTTGGCTTTGATTTAAGCTCTATTAGTCTGACTTTACAATTTATATATTTTATCAAACAATGATTATGTGTTTTGGTTGTTGTTGTCATTGTCTTCTCTGCAGTCTTCCTTGAAGTTTTTTGTTTAAATGAAAATCTTGTTGAGAGAGAACTGCAAATGATCTCCCTTGTAAGCTTGGCATAGCCTGGTGGTTAGGGCGCTCGACTCGCAATTCGCGGGTTCGAATCCTTGTCACCAAACATACTCGCCCTTTTAACCGTGGGGGCATTAAATGTGGCGGTCAGTCTCACTATTCATTGGTAAAAGCGTAGTCCAAGAGTTGGCGGTGGGTGGTGTTCATTAGCTGCCTTCCCTCTAGTCTATCACTGCTAAATCAGGGACAGCTAGCGCAGATAGCCCTCGTGTAGCTCTGAGCGAATTTCGAAACAAACCAAACCAATCTACCCTTGTCGTTAAAGTCGTGATTTAATAACATTATATATTTGCTGCTCTCGATGGCTCAGCGGTAAGTTTGAGGGCCTATAACGCTAAAAATCGAGTCTCAATACCCGCAGTGGACATGGCACACATAAGCTTTGTGCTAACAAAAGAAAACCACTTTTATATTTTCTTTACAAGAGTGAGGACTAAGTAGCTATGAACTTATCTTTAATTATTTTATTTTGAATACCAATTTATTTATACTATTAAGAGTTAGAATTTCTGATAAATAATAATCTATACTTTATTGTCACAGTTAGGACCGGTCATTTTCCAATCTACGCTACTATTGTAAGGGTAAGGACTGGTCACCTTCCAATCTACGCTACTATTGTAAGGGTAAGGACCGGTCACCTTCCACCCTACGCTGCTATTGTAAGGTTAAGGACTGAATACCTATTAATTTCAATGATCTATTATTAGAGTAACGATTGAATACTTGTCTGGTGCTCTTTTATTATGAAAGTGATAATAGAATATCTGCCAACTTATGATATTATTGTTAGAGTAAGGAATGAAAACTGACTACTTACCAACTTATGCTATTATTGTTAGAGTAAGGAATGAAAACTGACTACTTACCAACTTATGCTATTATTGTTAGAGTCAGGAATGAAAACTGACTACTTACCAACTTGTGCTACTATTACTGTGTGGGAAAAACTGAATACTTAACAATTTATATTTCTTTTCTAAAAGTAAGGACTAAGCTTTGTCTATTACACTTGTATTATGAAAGATATACTTATCAAATTACCTATTATTAGGTTAAGGACTGAATGCATAACCATTTGTGTTTCTATTATTATAATAACATTTATACTATTTAATGGCATTTTCTTAGGAAAACAGTACACGAACGTCTGACATCCTGTGTTACAGTTTTAGAGATAGTATTGGATTTTTCAAGCTGTTTTATTTTTGGAGTGAAGATTGGATACTTGCGTGATTAAGTTTTCGTTGACAGTATGAACAATGAATACTTTGTTTTTTGTTATGACCTTGAGATCTGAGCACACCAACTAATGCTTTCTTTATAAAAGTTGATATTTTGATGTAGTACCTTTGCACCCGGACTTGAAGTATTTGGAGTAGTATCTATGGATGCTGCCAAGATCCAAGTTAAGTCACACAATATGAAAGTTCCTATAAGGTTTGCATGGATTATATTTCGGAGACATCGAAGTTCTCTATTTGTAAAAGAAAAGAAAAATGACAGTAAAGAAGTCAAGACACAATGAAGTCTTCTCAAAAGATTGTTTACTGCTGAGAGTAACAACAGAACAGTAGTTTACATGAATAATTATGATTCCAGAAATGCTTAAAACCTTAAGTTATTCACATTTTTCTCTTTTCTCTAGATTTATTTATTTATGACATTATTAATATTTATGAATGATTCAACAAATAACTATTCATAACTTACAATGAAAGTTATATATATATATATATATATATATGCCTTTGCATAAAGTGTATGGTTTTCTACAGTAAAATCCACAGCAATATTATTATAATAGCAACCGTACTCAGATTTGCCATCAAATAATAGTTTAGTGCACAGGCCTTAAAGTTTGGGTATTATGTTTTTAAAATAGTGTTTCAAAAGTTTTAAACAGTACCATTGTCCGAAAAAGATACAGCTACAACATATGGTGAGTCTGAAAATGGAACATCTAATTTTGACGCCACTGACAAAAACTTGGTAATCGTTTCGACCAAATGGCCATCATTGATACAATGACCAAGTTTTCGCGTTCTTTTGAGGTGATTTATATTAACGTAGTTTCAAAATTTTGATTTCTTAATATCATTATTCCATCCAAATATATAAAAATATTTACAGTTCAGTTATGAAATGTACAAAACAGATTCAAATACTCTCATGTCAAAATGTGATAAAGATATGTTTATAAAACCTCTAATAATCTACATTTTGTTACTTAATGAATCACTGAATGCAGACACTTACTTAAAATAGAGAAATATCCAAAAGGCTATGATAGAGGCGATCAAGGAAATTCCATACCCAGCATAATATATATGTGTGGCATCTACACCGATGCCCAGTCCCTGAAAATACAGATTATAGCTGAGCTTCAAATAAAAAATGTCTAACAGTCAAACATTTGTTTGCAATTATTTTGTACACCTGACGTTTCGGCACTTTCTAATGTCTTTCTCATTACCTACTAACTGTTGTATACCTGACGTTTCGACATTCTCTGGTGTCTTCCTCAGTGGCTACTAACTGTTGTATACCTGACGTTTCGACATTCTCTAATGTCTTCCTCAGTGGCTACTAACTGTTGTATACCTGACGCTTCGACATTCTCTAATGTCGTCCTCAGTGGCTACTAATTGTTGTATACCTGACGTTTCGACATTCTCTGGTACAACAGTTAGTAGCCACTGAGGAAGACATACCTGACGTTTCCGACATTCTCTAATGTCTTCCTCAGTGGCTACTAACTGTTGTATACCTGACGTTTCAACATTCTCTAATGTCGTCCTCAGTGGCTACTAATTGTTGTATACCTGACGTTTCGACATTCTCTAATGTCTTCCTCAGTGGCTACTAACTGTTGTACACCTGAGCGAGGTACTTAAAATACAGTAACGATAATAGCACGTGACATTCTGTTGTTATAGTTGTACTAGTACTTGTATTCACTTGGTTTTCATCTCCTAGGATACACCATAACTCACGAAGAATGCTTTGAAATTTGTTAATATATGTGACCAAAATGTACCATTTTTCTAACCTGGAATATGGTTCTTTTGCAAGAGTATATGAATTTGATAAGCGTGAAGTTTCGGTTCGTTTGAATTTATGTCATTTTTATGTTCTTTTATATGTATACTGAAAGTTCGGTCCTTTCGTGTATTTGGTTTTTCATGAAATGTTTCAGCAGAAAAATGTACATATACTAGAAATCCCGTTTTCGGGCTCAGATGGAGTCTTAAAGATGGTGAGTTAAAGTAATGCTTGAAAATATGTTTAATGTGAAATACCTTTAGATGCTCTTTAATATGCCTAAATAATTCTTTATTTTATATTGGAAAACTCAATGAAAAAACAATATCTTGATTTTACTTCCCACCATCTTATGTTGTCGTTAAGATTCCACCTACAAGAAATCAGTCAGAACAAGTGGCCCCCACCCCAGTGGCACAGCGGTATTTTTGCGGAGGTACAACGCTAGAAACCGGGTTTCGATACCCGTGGTGGGCAGAGCACAGATACCCCATTGTGTAGCTTTGTGCTTAACTACAAACAAACCGCTCCCCAGTGGTACAGCGGTATGTTTACGGACTTACAACGCTAGTAACCGGGTTTTGATACTCATGGTGGGCAGAGAACAGATAGCCCTTTGTGTAGCTTTGTGCTTAACTAAAAACAAACAAATATAACAACTTCAGAAAATGAGCATATCATAAAAAAACTTAAAACCTAGTTTATATCCTATCCGAGTTAGGGAATAAAATTATTTAACGATATAATTAATTAACATTAATTTAAAAAAAATCTAACCTACAACAACCACAGTCAGCGATCCTATATACCGAAAGATTGTCTATGAAAATTAAACATCATGAAGTCGTTTGTGATTTGTATGCTTAATTTGTAAGTTTACAATTTAAAGGTTTCCTGTATATAAGTAGAAAATTAAAGGAAAGGAAGTGAGAGACGGGAAGATCTCTCACTTGTTGTTAGCCCAAAGATACACAATTGGTTATCTGCGCTCTGTCCAGCATGGGGAATCGAACCTTAGCTTTTAGCGTTGCAATCCCATAAACTTACTGCTGATTCATCGAAGGACAGACGGAAAGATGGCTTTAAAAAAGGCGAAAAGAGGAAGGGGAAAGGAAAATAAGTAAAGTATTAATAACATTCGTAATTCTAAACTGGACGGGCGTGAATTAATGGTTAGTGTGCTCGGACTGAAAATCCAAGTACTCATTATTGCTCTGTATTTGGAAAAATAAGAAAAAAGTGAAGGTCAAATCCCACTAATTGGTCAGACAAGATTAAGCCCAAAAGTTGGGGGCGGGAGTACAGATGGCTCTTGTGTAGCTTGATATTTTAATTCCCTGCCATTTAAAGATACGTAAGATTCAGGTTAGTGTATGAATAGATCTTTCAACAGCAATTGGTATTCCAAGGAGTTCCTTTATCGGCCCGGCATGGCCAGGTGGTTAAGGTGCTCGACTCGCAATCTGAGGGTCGTGGGTTCGAATTCCCGTCAC